CTTACTCTCGAGCTTCAGAGAAATTGGGCACATAGCTTTACACAGTCTCAAGAGGATAATCCCACCAAGAGACATCACCAAGACTTAGGAAATGGTAATGCTTTGACGATGTTTTTACTGTATCAGTCTCAAGAGGATAATCCCACCAAGAGACACCGCCAAGAAACACCACCAAGACCTAGAACATGATAACGCTTTACTGTGCTCCCCTAGACCCCACAAAGTTAATAACAGACAAGGGACTAATTCAAATAACACCCACATAACATAATAGCCCGATACTTCAAGTTGTTTGTCATTCAAAAACAACCCTTTTCTACAATAAAGAAGATATTTGGATTTTTCCGTACACTTGAAAATTAATAATATCAAAACAAAGAACGTTTGAGTTATATTTATGTTGGGAAAAAAAAGAAAACACAAAAAGACGCGTTGGTTGAAAAGTCAGTTTTGAAAATTTACAATCACATATTACATACGTTTTTTTCTTTACGCAAATACGGGTAAAAATGATATAATATAATTTAAAATTACTAGTATTTAAAAGCTCATTATAACGAACGCGAAGAAGAAGAATGAATTTAATCAAAACAGGGAGAAATAAATGAACTATTTACATTTATTCAGGAAATCACATGGTTCATGTTACGCGTGAATGACGTAAGATGATTAACATGGTACATATTTTAGCCGATCACTTTTTTGAATCAAACATATCTAATCGTCATCATAAGGATTGATTTTATAAATACTCATTGAAACTAGCCAATACTACATTTTACGTTGTAATATAATAACTTTTAAATCAGATCAATACTTATTTTTATTATTTATATACATATTATCATGGCCAATGGATCCAATAAACCAATAGCCAATAGATGAGAGACGTTTTGATAATTTTCACGATTTAGACGACGCTCACGTTCCTCAGTGATTTCTTTTGACTTCTTCTTTCTCGAATGCTTGTAAGACGCGCCTCATACTTTCGTCTCTTTTTCTTGTGAGACGTTCCTCGCATTGTTCAGCAGTGATGGCAAATTATAAGGTCATTTACTATTTTTTCAAATGACCTTGGTCATTTTGACTTGAAATAAATAATAAAAGTGATGTCATTTGAGGTCATTTGAGGTCATTTCAAGGTCATTTGCCAACACTGTTGTTCACTAATTTTTCTATTTTTCTTTCTGGATTAGTAGATTAAGACTTTTTATTTATTAGTGATGTTTCCGATTTGAAATTGGAAATGTAATTCAATATTGATTATATGGGGGCCTTTGTAATAGAAAGGGGGAAAACTGCCGGAAAAATCAAAATGCTAAATTTGAACCCCCTTTCTATTATTGCAAAGGCCCTGCCCCATATATGCTTTTATAAATATATATAAAAAAAAGATTAATAATCGGGCAAAGCAAATATTCTGAGTCAATTATTTTTGTATTTGAATTTTTGAAAAATAATCTAATCATTGGGGGGGGGGGGGGAGCATTATTTATTGATCTTTTTCCCCTTTGCAAATTGTTCCGATATGACTTGATTTATATAAATATAATGAAATTCTGTCCTTGTAGCTCATTTTCGTGACATACTGGCATTATAACCCCGGACTTCACAAAGGCCTCGCCGTTTCCTAGTTTTAAATACATGTACTTTATAAAGTTTTTTTTTAATAATATAAAAATGATTAAAAATGACTAATTTTTAACTTTTAATTAATATAAATTTTTTTTAAAAGCAATAACTTAAATTATTTACCATTACTGTGTTTTTGTGTAAACTTTTCTATTTATAAAAATTTAAACATTGGATCAAAATGATTGTAAATCGAAATTGTAAATTTTATAAATTACGCGCGATCAGGTCAGTTATAGTTTCTGATTTCACAATTGTGCTTTATAATCATGCGATGAAAACAATAAAATTTAAACAAATATTACTATTTATTCCAGAATAATATATATTAGAATTAATAAACAAACAATTATAAGACGGTCTTGTTGGTGGTTCCATCAACATTCTCATGTAAATATTTTTTTTTTTCAGAGCCTTCGCCAAATTCTCCAACAATATGCCCATTACCACAAAGTTTATACTTATAAATCACTAATCCTTCAAGACCTACTGGTCCTCGTGCATGAGTTTTGTTAGTACTTACCTATATGATATTATAAGAAATAGATAAATACGTAAATAATTTTTCTCTCAATAGACGTTAAAAGATTATATGTTTATGATGTTAACGAATTTCTATTTATAATTACCCCAACTTCAGCCCCGAAGCCATACCGAAAACCATCAGCGAATCTGGTGCTCGCATTCCAATAAACACCTGCAGCATCAACACCTTGCATGAATCTCTTTGCAACTTGATCATTTTCCGTGACGATAGAATCTGTGTGCTTACTGCCATGTGAATTTATATGTTGAATCGCTTCCTCTACGCCACCAACCACTTTAACTGCAATATCTAGATCCAAAAATTCTGTGTCGAAATCCTCATTTACGCATTCCTGGATAAATGAAGAGTTTGTAGTAGGAAGGTAAGAAAGTGACTCTGAATCAAGGTGTAATCGAACGTTAGCATTCTGTAATGCAGTAGCGATAGGTATGAGATGTGTTGAGAGAATTGAACGATTTACGAGAAGGGTCTCAGCCGAGTTACATGCCGCAGGATAATTGACCTGCAAATGTGTTAAAGCTATTGAGATTTGAAATGAGGAAGAAAAAGAACTAAATTAATAAAAGCAATCAGAGTTTTACCTTTGAATCGACAACGATTCGAACAGCTTTATCAAGGTTAGCGTCCTTGTCAACATAAACTGAACATAAACCATCAGCATGTCCCAAGACAGGTATCCTTTAATAATCATCGCCAAATCTTAATAATTTATTGATCCAATTTTTTCTGAATCGTTTGTTCAGGATGTGAAATACCTTGTATTACTCTGAATATATTTCACCAAATTATTGCTTCCACGTGGAATTACCAAATCAATGTAATCATCCAAATCTAATAAAGATTTAATTTCTTCACGAGTTTCAACAAGTTGAATAGCATCTGATGGAATTACGGTATCAGCCAAGGCGGATCGAATGGCCGTTGATAGTGCGTTCAAAGAGAAAGAAGATTCTTTCCCACCCTTTAAAATTACAGCGTTACCTTAATTAATTTATAAAATAATTATTAGTTGATTCTATATTATATTACATTTTTAATGAAAAAGAAATTTAGTTTAAAAGATGCAATTGTACCGGATTTTATAGCTAACGCGGAAATATTGACAACCACCTCAGGTCTTGCTTCAAAAATTACTAGCAAAACTCCAACAGGACAGGTAACACGATAAAGTTCCAACCCTTCGTCAAGTTTACTAGAATAAGTAATTTGGCCAGTAGGATCTGGTAATTGATCGATATCAGATATTCCCTTAAGCATTGTATCAAATTTATCTCCTTTTTCAAGGTCCAATCGCTTGAACAGAGAGGCGGATAATAATCCGGCATTTACTAATTTCTCAGCATTCTTTAATTATTTTCAACCGGTATAATTAATTAAATTTTTTATTATTAATAAATATATCATATGTAATTCAATCAAACCTCTTTATCTTGTCTATTGGCTTTAAAAATTTCTTGTTTCTTATCTGTAAGAATATTTTTAATTTTATCAAGCGCAACACTCTTTTCTTGAGTGGTCACATATTGAAACTTATTAGCAGCAGCACGTGCATTTTGGGCTACTTTAATCGTATTCATTTTTTTTTAATAAAAAAAACTTTACATCGAAGATCAATTTTTAAATATCAGATGCTTTTTTAACAAATTCCGTGTAACCGTTATAATTTCAGTCAAATTCTAAATTCTTGATATTTTTTTTTTTTGTATTATTTAAAGTTAAATTGGATTCTTTAGAACTAAATTATTTTAGATTAGTTCAGTTAAAATTAGTGATACCTTTTTTGAAAAATTGTAGTTTCGTCAAAAGGATTCGTCTCTTTAATATTTTTATATAAATAAATTTAAATTATTATTTTTTTTTAATGTATTTTAATTCAAGGAATTTAAATATAATTTTGCCAATTAAGTAAAATACTTTCGTCATTTATAAAAAACTAGTTTCATCATTTCGGTTTCGTCGGTTTCGTCATATTAAGAAAGGTAGTTTCGTCAGGTATCACTAGTTAATTTAAGATATTATTAGTAATCTTAAAATTATTTATCCATAAATTTTTATGATTTAAAGATTTATTAAAGTAAAAAACCAATTTTATTTTAGTAAAAATTTAAGATTTTAATAATTTTAAGAATATTAGCCAGATTTTGATAAATGCAGTCCGGGGATATAAACCGAATTCTAGAATAATCTATTTATAAATTTGTGGATTTGGTTGGCTCAGAAAAACTTTTTTACGTCAGCATTAATCGAGGGTTTTTATATTCAAAAAATATACAAATAGACTGTACAAGATATCCAATTTCGATAATCCCAAATAATCCCTTATAGTTAGCTATCTTTGAAAAAATAAATGAGACTTAAAGTTAAGCATTTTTCTTGGTCGTTATTAGGTAGAAGGAAATAAAAGAATGCAACCTTTGTTAAATTAAATAACCTTTCTATAGTGTCTGCTTACCAGAAACCAAGAGCGAAAGATCTTTTATGTATTTTCGCAGACTTAGTTGAAAAATATAGTAAAATCAGATTTAATTCTTGTGAAACTAAAGAATCACAAAAATGGTGGCATGCAAACGTCCAGGAAGCAGCTAAGCGACTTATATTTTTTCATAATTTTTTTCCTGAACTTACTAATCTTTACCCTTTAGAATCCTATTTGATTTGCGAGAAACATTATAATCAAACCGTTACAACTAATCAGTTTTATCAACATCTTATAGGTTCTATTCAAGAAAGTAAAAGGAACTGACTCGATACTAGTCAATATGATCTAGCCAATAATTATACTGAACTAATGGTTGAAATTAATAGGACTAGAAAGCTTTTAGAGTCCACTCAATCAGAAAATCAACAGAAATCGCAATTGATGACAGAAATTAATAACACAATTGAACGAATGCATCAGTTTTTAAAAGATCAAAGAATAAAGTAAAAGAATCAAAAAAATAACTGCAAAAGGCTTATGACAATATGAATACTATCTGAAATTTATAAGAAAAGTAATATCAAATCAATAAGACTCTTACTGAGCAATGGAATTCACAATTTGATAACCAACAAAAATATATCAATATAATTATAGAAATAGCAAAACTAGAATGTGAATCATTATTTAAAGATTTAGGTTTACTAATTTGAAATAATAATAGGTTTTTCCTAGAAAGTCTCATAGTACATAATCCACGTAAATAGCTCGATAAACATAATAAAATTTCTGTCAAATTTATTGAAACCCTAATTCAGAATAATTGAAATACAGAAATACAGACATTTTAAGTTAGGAGAAGCTTTTTAAAACTGCTATCATAATCAATTTGATATAAGAAATACAACATAGAAAATATATATCGAAAATTCAACTTGCTGCTTCAGCTATTAAATATTCGATTATATGATCAAAATTAGTTATTAATATCAACAATCATATTACAAATGCAGGAAGCTATTATATATTTCAAAAGTAGCTAGGAGAATTATTAAAACATGAAGAGCCATTATCTGAAGGCCTTTTATTTCTTACATTTGAACAAAAAACACAAAAGAACTATTTCGATTAAGAATCTAATACAGTGATTTATTATATTATTACCAGTTTTGTTACTTTAAATATAGCATTGCAAAATAGAATTCAACATACTAATTTACCTTGAACATATCAGTCACTTTCTAGATTACAATATGAAAAGCTCTTTGATATCAACCCTCAAATATAAGAAAGAATCGATAAGTAATTACAATGGTAAGCAAAAGAAATGCAACCAGAATTGCACATTGTTATAAGCTTATATCTCGTCAACTACAAATGCTAGAAATATAATTTTGCATTTATTTTAAACTTCAAAACCTAAAGAATATTTAGTAAAAATTTGAAGTATGATTATTAAGACCAATTTTGCGCAATTTAGTAATCTACATTACAATTTCTTATTTAATAAAATTTAAGTATAGAAATATTTTTCAGTAAGCTAACTACTCAAAAACTGATACTGAATTCCGATTCTTCCCAGTGTGGCGATTCTAATAAGCTAAAATTCGTCAAAATCAGATCAGTAAATCAATGAAAAATTGATCTACAAGATCGCTTCGTGCTATATATAAAAATACATCTAACCATATTTATATATAGCAAGGGAATCACTGCTCTATCTCAATTGGTAACAACTGAGCTCTATGTCAATACTAATGCTAATGCTAATACTAATACTAATACTAATACCAATATTAACATCAATACCAATATTAATACCAATACTAACGCTAATGCTAATGCCAATACTAACGTTAATACTAATTTTAATAACAACACCAATAACACCAACACATGTATCAACACCAAAACCTAAGCCAATACCAAAACCTATGCCATCTATGTCAACACCTATGCCATCTATGCCAATATCTAAACCACCTATGCCAAATCCTATACCAACACTAACATTTATAATAATATTAATATGGATGTTAACATCTAAATAATTTTTTTATTTTTATTTTTTTTTCTTATTGTAAAAAAAAAAATCTTTTTTGATTGGAAGTCAAAAATATATTTTTTTTTTTTTGATTGGATAGGATCAACAAAAATTTTTATTAAAAAAATATTTTTATATTTTTTTTTTATTTACGTGCATTTTTTTTAAATAAATAAAATAAATAAATATATATTTTTACTTTTTAATGAAGATTAATATTGTTATCTTAAATTTATTTTACATCTTATAAAATTATATCAAAATAAATTTTACATTCTCTCTCTATCTAAAATATATTTGTTATTACCTATGTTAAAAAATCTTACGCATCTATCAATTCCTATGAGAAGGGTATGTCTTTTCTTAAATGAAATTATGTTACAAATATATAAACTGAATCCTTATTTAGAAATTACTTATTTAGTAATGATAATTAATCATTTTACAATAATGTATATTTTTTATATTTTTTGTTAATTAATTAATGATAAAACAACCAAATGGCAACCAATTTTTATTAAAATTTGAAAAAAAATACAAAAAAAAAACTGTGTAAAAAATTAAAAAAAAATTAAGAAATAAATTAAAAATAAAATTTATAAAAAATAAAAAATAAATTATGTTTTTACTCTATTTTTTTCCCTTTCAATTGCCCTTGCTATTTTTTCAGTTAATGAAATTGCAGTCGTATATCTGATCTCACTACCACTTAAATCCAATTTAGTCATTCCGTAAATAGCTTGTGTTAACAAATACCAAATTGAATTTAAACTCATCTCAATTGCTACACCAAATTCAGAATAAAAAAAATGACCTTCTTTTACTTTACTAATTTCAAAAATGTATCCTAATGCTCAATCTATCTGATTATTATTGGAATGACCAACAGCTTCATAATCCTTGACACAAAACAATGCATCTATAATTTGTTTTTCATTCAAATTAACTTCATTTTTAAATTTCTCATAGGAATTTGTTATTCAGAGCATGTCCATTTTAGCATTATTATAAAGCCACTTTGCAACTGAATCTCCATTATTATTAAATATCTGTTGTTCTTTTAGACTAGGTTTCTTCTCAGCAACACTTTTGTAAGCATACAAACCTAAAAAAAAACTTAAAGGATTTTTTCAAAGATCATGACTAACCAACTTCTCAGTACTTTCATGTTCTTTTCCATAAACAATATTATAGTGGTTATCCACTGTTGACTTGATTTTATTTCCCAAAAAATTTGAAACCTTTTTAAGGCTATATCTCTTACTACCCCACCCACAATCTTATCATTACATAAAAAAATGGCCAACTGATTTTTTTTAATTACTTTAAGGTCTTAAGACAATTTAGAAAAAGATACAAATTGTTATTTATACTTTGAAATTAGATCTAAACTACGACTAATATTAATTAACATAGTTGAGTTCTTTTCAATCTTATATTAGAAGTCAGTCGTTAAAACCTTAAATCTATTATTTCAATCATTCAACAATTTGACTTTATCTTCTTGGTGACGTATACTTAAGAGTCGTAGGAACACAGAGATAGGATCATTCTTTAAGATGTTATTTAAAAAAATTATTAGATTTGTATTACATAATAGAAGATATTATTGAAAGAAACATTTAAAAAAAAAGATCTTAAAGCTATCATTCTTTTACGAATCAAAAAGGATGATTAAGCGTACAACTCAATCTTAAAGCTTTTATCAACATTAAATTCAGATAGGAGACCATCTTTCTAAAACTATTATTCTTTTTTTTTAAACATAAAGGACAGCACTAATCATAGATGAATTTGAAATTTAATTAAATTAAATTACTTACGTCTGTA